GGAGGAACACAGGCTCATGCAGGGGAAAGTTCAGCCTTGTAAGAAATGCACTGTGGGCTCAGTGCACTAAGAGGACAGGAGTGGCTTCCTGAGCACAGAACAAAGCTTTGCTCCTGCACCAGTGAGAATTTGACACTTCTTGGTGACGTTACAGAGCTGAAGGAAAGCCAGGCAGGCAGGTGTCTTAGATCAGTGTTCAGTATGCCGCCCTCTAAAGTAAATACTCACTGGTGGGGTTACAGGTCAGTGCAAGACATCCACCTGTAAGCTGCATTTAGTTGCCTTTAGGCACTTCAAATCCCACTTAGATCTTCTATGGAATCTATATTTTCATTCAAGGAACTGAGCAGGATCTATGCTCTGTCCTTAACAGAAATGCAAAGACATTCCCCCTTGACATTGGTGAAACCTTTTTATTCAGCATTTGAGTGATTTGGTGTTCTGTCTTTGCTATTTTTTCTCTGTAATGGAGGACAGGAAACACTTACCTACAGCTGACCCTGCCTGCATATGATGCCAAAGCACTTTGGGAAGAAGTGATCCTTTTAAGAACTCTTTTTATGTATTATCTAAGGAATGAAGCCAGAATATACCAAATTTCAGGAGAATACTTTACATACAGAGTAATATAACCTCTGAAGCTTTCCACTTATAATCCTGGATCTTCTACATCCATGGAAAGTATATTAGCTTTTTCATGTGTTTAAAAAAAATAAAATTGGAGCATTCATTTTTCTTCAGTTGCACTAAATATCATCTATCACTGTTTTGCAGTGTGCTTTACTCATATGCTCTGCACTCTTAGAACAATTTCTTTCTTTAACTTGTTATTAGAAATAGAGGAAAATCTGTTTTCAGGGTGTTAATTGTCATTATGGGTTTGTTAAGCACTGAGTTGGCCAATCTGTTAAAAAGATTGTGCATGCATGTAGAATTAGTGTTTTCACTTTTTAAGATAATTCTTATAAGGTACTTTGTCAGGGCAATCTAGGTGCTTCTGTAACTGATATGTTTGCAAAGCTTTAAGAATAACAATCCTCAAATCAGTTGCCTAAATTTTATTGATGTCCCAGTGAAATTGTAAAGGATCTGGTCCTTAGAGATATTTAGGTTTCTATTCCTCACATGTGCTTGGTGGGAGAGAGTCACCGCAGCAGACGTATGAATCTGGCACTTTGGAACCACTCTGAAGTGGGCAAGAGCAGCTCCATGAAATTCCAGGAGATGCAGTACCCCAAGCACTTGGCTGCAACAAAGCTGCTTAAAGGCGCATCTTAGTTTAGTGCTTTATTTGTTTTTAAGTTTTGGCAATTAGATTTAAGCAGAAGTTTACATATGCGTAATATCTGTGGATTTTTCTAGCTTTTAAAAGCTTTGGGAGTTTCCTTCCTTCAGAGCAAAACCACATTAATATAATGAATTAAACATCTGCATTCTTTCATGAATTAAGTAAAAAAACCCACCCATCCAAAACACAAAACAACACAAAAAACAAACAAACAAAAAACAAACAAAAACCCCCAGCTGAAAAGCTCTTAAGTTGAAACCCATGAGGATGGCAGTGAGGCACTTCTTGCAGAATGACAGTCCTTTTTTTCACTGCAAGATCTATTCAGCAGAAGGTTTGGGTACATGTGACCCGAGAATCAGATCTTGATGATTATGGGAAAAAATGAGATAGCAAATCTATATGCAAAAATGTTGTCTCTGTACACTTTGAAGGATTTAATGCATTTAATGTTTTTTGATATAGTCCCAAGATGTTGAACATGTATTTTTAAGTTTCAAACATAATATTAAATTAATATGGAGTGAAAATCTCCATGGAAAAAGTTATTTAAATGTGGCTATTTACTTGATGTGAGTTAGTGATATTTTGTAACTTTTTGTCTTTTACAGAAAAAAAAAATCAGATTATGCATACAAGCTACATTTTTTTGTTTTTAAAAATACAAACATTCTTAAAATAATTGAAGGTAATTTCTGCCTTCAGATTTTAGTAATCTTTTATCTTTGTTTCTGCATTTTTACATTAAGATAGCTAGGTTTCAGCCACTTTTAATCATCAAAGCTAAACAGTATTTAAGTGAAATATTTGTAATACCTATTCATAAATTCTCTGCTATTTTTAACATCTAAGCTGGTATTTTCCTTTCTGAACTCCCTCTTTTAATTCCTGTATTCTAATTACAAAAGTAGAACATCTTTATAAAAGAGAAGCAGGCATTTATCTGGAGCTGGTAATAATACCTTCTAATAAATTGACACAAAAATCTTTAGTTTTTTCTTTAGAAGTAATAACACAAATTATAAAGATCAAATAAGGACATTTAAATATAAAAGAGATATTTAATAATAAAGAGATATCAGTTGAATTTGAACCAACAAAAAGAAAAAAACAGGCCAACCACAGAAATTCAGATCAAGTTCTCACCTGTGTAGAAGTAATGTAATGCTGTATATAGTAAGTAGAGATATGGGAAGATCTTTCTAAGGCTGAGATTCAGGATAAGACATTTCTTTGCATAGTCTATTACTGTTAGCAGCCATGAGCCCTGTGCAATAAATAAAACTTCTGTTGAATAGGATATATCTGCATAAGGTATATAAACAAAGATGTGTATCTGCTGAAAAGTGTTGTCCTGGTACTTAATGTTGAGGGCAACAAATAAGAGTGAGACTGTGCAGTGCTGTGAGATTGTGAGATCACTCTGTGCTGTGGTAGCCTCACCTCCTGAAGTGGAGACTTCTTAGGAGAGTTTTTTTGGTTGCAGCTCTCAGCCTGGAATGCTGTCCCCACAAGGCCTCTCCTGGGAGCTCTCTGGAGCCTGATTTATTCTGCAGAGGAGGCCATTGAGGAAGAGGGACGTGTAGGATTTTTCTGACACATTACAGTGGAGGTTAAATAACTCTGTGTTGTGTTTCACTTCCTGCTACAGAATTAAAGGGAAGAACATTTACAGTTTAGGGGTCCTTCAAGTCTATAGTTTATGTCTGAACTTCTTGGAAAAAAGCTTTAAGGGAAGTTAGACTCAAATATCAGATAGTAACAGTATTTTAGTTTATTATGCAAGTTATCATGCCTGCTTTGATAAATAAATCCTCTGAATCAGAGCTGTCTTCTGAAAGGGTTTTATAATGATATGATTTAAACATTTTAAGTTTTTTGACCTACATTAGCCATATATTAAAACTTCAGGTATTTTTTGTTCTTTTACTGTCCAAATTAATAAAACATAAATTGTAAAACTACAAGAACATGATTTAAAAAATATATATTGGAAGGTTTTGCTGAGAGCAAAATAATTTAATTTAGAAACAAGCATTCTTTTTATTAAGATTTTAGAGTAGACATGTAAAAGGCAAACTGCGGCAAAATCAGTGCCCTTACCTTTTTTGTAAATATAGTTGCATAAGAGAAATAGGACACTCATTTTATTTTGTGACAAATGTATTGCTTCTTTCTGCAAAGTTTTAATTTTAAGCACATTGATAGTTTCAATTAAACCTTTAAGAATATACACATAAATGTTTAAAGATATGTAAGTCCATGTGATATTGAGGACAACTGAGTAAGTTGAGATTCTGCTTAACAAACCGTTAAACAAAAATGTTTCTTACCCAGCAGATTAATTTATTACAGATGTTTGTTCTCTATTTTAAAAACTTTCATCCAGCTGTTTTCTCAGGCAAATATTTACCAGGTTTTGTACTGAATGACCCGAACTTAACTTTCTGAAAATAGAAGACATATGTATTCAAAAATGTTTTGTTTAGTTAGCATGTAATGCTAATGATGTAGATGATGATGATGTGACATAAAGGGAAGAGAAATATCTTAATTACTTTTGAGGAAAGTCTATATTTAAATTTTTTTTATATCCACTAAAAAATTCAATTTTTATTGGACTATTATTTTTCTACCTGAATTAATTTTCTTTCCTTAGGAAGTGCTTTTTCAAGCGTAAAGTAAAACTTTGATGAAATCCTAGAACAAATTAAGCATGTTCTCTTTCCAGACGGAAAAAAATTGTCTCCATTGATCTAAGTTTTTTAATAGGATGGTGTAGAATATTTAAGGAAATATGACAAAATGATGACAGTATTTAAGAAGGAAATACTAAAGTACTTATACTCACGTTCATGGTTCAAGAGGAATCAGCTGCGTAGCCACCTAATGTGGAAGAAGTTCAGATGTTTGATTTCCTTGTTTGACTGAAACAAAGGTCTGTAGCCCTACTCTGTAGGTGTATAGGAGGGCCCTGATGTGATGAATCAAAACCTCACTGATCAAACCTCAATGAAGTCTAACAGCAGTCCAGCAATTTCGCAGAGGAATGGCCATTTCTCCTGAAGAGCCTGATCCATTTTTGACACTGGAGGCAGGCAGGCAGGCAGGAAGGAAGGAATGTCCTAGAACCAGCTCTGTAAATTGTAGCAACTTTGTGGAGAAAAGGATATGGGGTGCCCCACCTCCAAGGACTACACTTAAACTGGTGGTGTGTACCACCTCTTCTCTTGCCTATTTGCCACATACTGTAAGATACCCAAAGCTCATGGAGAGGAGTTGCCAAGCAAACATGACTTTGTAGCCTACTGGCTAGAAACACACATAGCCATGATATTGCATTGTGATAAGCATCCTGCCTAAATGAAAATAGCAGTACATGTGCTGGAAACAGCTGCTAGAGCATGTTCTTGTGAGATCACAGGTGACATTAGCAGCAGGCTGTCTCCTGCATGGATGGCTGGGTGCAGGTATTTCTCAATGATGACATCAATGAATGAACAAGATGCGAGAAATATTTGGCACCTGATCTATAATGCTCAGTATGAGACAGCTTAGAGAGAAGTTTCAGACACGTACAGCAGATGTTGTGTCATAATGCAGAAACTCCTATAATGGCTGAGTCCATTTTGGGTGAGGCCGTGGCTTCTTCTGGTTTTCTTATTGCTCTGAGATTTTTAGCAAAGTAGTGAAATAACACTTCTCTTTTCAGTGTTCTGTTTCCTGTGGAAAAGGTTTGAAGTTTCGTGATGTGCATTGCATTAACAGCTTCCAAGCAAAAATAGAAGAAGACAACTGCAAACATTTGAAAAAACCACGAATATACAAAATATGTAGAGCTGGAAGATGTCCTTCTTGGAAGGCCAGCAGATGGAAAGAGGTATGTAAAAGCTTCCATAATTATGTTCTCCATGAAAACATGAGGCAATATCATTTTCATGACAACACTGCTTCAGTGGGAATAATTGTCAATACACACATCACAATGACATTTGCAAATTAGCAAGTACTTCATTGTATTTTATTTTTTATTCTTTCAAGAGTAATTAAAAATAAATGTCTGTGAAAACTGAAATTATTTGCTAATCTGAATTTTGTACTGAATAGCTACTTAGGACTATCCTCATCTTACCTTGTACATTAACAGTGAATTTTTAAAGTTTAATTCTTACCTTTTGCAATGAATTCAGTAGTATCACTATTTGCTATCTTAGTCTAAATACTGAAATGGAGCCATGTTTGTGGGAAAAGGACAAGAAAAAGGGCTCCTGGGCACAAATACTGGACTTTTCCCTGGTTTGGTCTTATAAAACATCTGTCACTTTGTAAAATTGTGTGTGACTGAGCACATTGCAATATTTTGCATTTCAGTCACTCTTTCAACACAAAATTCCCCGCATTGGTAAAGACACAGTACGACTCTCCACATTTTGGCCACACTTGATAGAATGATATGAACTTTATGATTGAGCTTGGACTTTTAGGTAGGCTTTGGGACATAATAGTGCTTCTGCCTAGGATAAAAAGGAATTAGGTTTATCTCAGCAAGCATTAGTGGTATAATGAAATTCCTTTGGCCAGGAAAGAGGAAAAGAGGCATTTGGAATTTAAGCTTTTCAGGGTTCAAAATTCTTAGTACTACCACAAAAGAGAGTGTCCTCAGAATATTACACTTTTGCAAGATTTTCTAACCTCTACACTGAGATTTTTTTTCTCTTTTATTGTAGTAATTGCATTTTAAAACAACAGACAAGACTGTCAGTCTCTAATAAAGACAAGATGTAAGCTCAGAGCTTCGACTGTAGATCTTGCAAAAATGTAAACTTTTGCTTTGCATATGTCTATAGTGATTGTCCCTACTGTGAATTAAGGTAGGCAGAGAACTCAGTTAGGTACCTCAGATGCATTATTTTCTGTATTTTTGAAACGTTTTAATTGTAGTTTTGCATTTTCAACATAAATTTCTTCAGGTATTGTACTTATATCACAAGGTCTGTGAAGTATATTTTAAATAATATCCTAAGAACTTCTAATGACAGCTGTACGCCCTTCTGGGGACTGTCTCGTTTTGTAATGACACAGCTAATTTTGATCCATTTTAGTGCTCCGTATCCTGTGGAGTGGGGACTCAGCAGAGGGACATTTTCTGTCGGGTGCCAGGCGTGGGGCGGGTGAGCGATGCACTGTGCAGCCGCGCCCTGCGCCCCGCCAGCGCGAGGCAGTGCCAGCAGCGCCCCTGCCCTCTGCACCGCTGGCTGGCTCGTGCATGGGAGAAGGTGAGTAAGGTTTTCAACGTCTATGGCTTCATTGAGTTTCGTAATATGTATACAAAATAAGTTTGGGCTTTCTGTTACTTTTAAATTTTTTTTTCCCCATACATTTGGATACATTTCTAGTAGCTGTCGTGCTGCAGAATAACGAATTACCGTGCTGGAAATTTTGAAGGTCAGGCTTGCAAAACTTCAAAAGTGACAAAAAATGTCAAAGACTTTATTTATCCTCTCTTTTTATAAATTCTACAGGATTTGCTTGTCTCTTGTAGACAATAGCTCTGGTGGAGTTCTGAATAGGTACTTATTTATAGGACTGTCTCTACATACTTCTCTACATAGTGCATAAGATGTTTAATAAATACTTATTATGAAATATCTTTTTAAAAAGCAGCTTTTTAAGAACAGAAATGCAGCAGTAATGTCACGTGGAAGTAAACACCGTGGAGGTAAAATCTTCAGACAACACTGTTTATAAGAATTTCTCTATGGAAGATTTAAAGCATCTTAAAAACATGAGCATCTTTTTTTGTTAAAGAAAAGATAAGAAACAAAATAAATCTCATTATATTCCTACCAAAGAGGAAGCAAGATAAGAAAATAAAACTCAGCATTCTCTTAACAAATATGCTTTTTCATATTTAAGAAAGACACCTTCAGGAGAGAGCTGTCATTTCTAAAGGTGTAATTACTATTTTCTATATGCTAAAAATGTAATAACTTTTGATATTTTTGCAAACATGCAAGCATGTAAAGATGGGGAAGACAGAAAAAACAAAAATTATCTATAATACCTGAAATGGTGTGCAAAGAGCCTTTCTCTAAGATTGAACAAAAAAACATTTCGTGCATTTGTGTCATATTAATAATCTGACATGCTAAATTTTCTAGGCTCTCCCTCTCCCCATCCATCTCCCTCTCCCTCTCCTTGTTTTGTTTCAAGGTCATCTTGTTTTGTTTTCAGGATCGACTTATTCCTTTCATATTTCTCTGAAATCTTTTTCTGTCTCTTTCCTTTTCATATGGAAGGGCTTTTACACTCAACCTGCCATCTTGGCTTGACATTTTAATTTTCTCCTCTGTCTCACCCAACAGTTACTGTGTCATTGTTATTATAAGCTGTTGATTTTTTTAAGCTGATTAGAAGTACTTGAACACTGAAAACAAAGTAAAAGACTCTTATTCAGTGAATAATTTAGTCTGACATTGATAGCAGATGTCAAAAGGTGTTGCTGTCTGGGTTTTACTGGTGTGTGGCAATCAGTAGGTAACTTAATTCTGTAAATGTCTAGATAAATGGTGATTAATTTTTTCACTTTTAGTGCTCAGCATCATCTAGAAGAAAGGAAATATACCGGAAAGTAAAATGTGTGAATGAAAACCATCTCCAAGTGGATGAAAGCTTCTGTGATCCTGCTACAAAGCCTCCATCTTCCAAAACCTGCAGAGTATCTCCCTCTAAATATGTTGTGCTTACAGGAGAACTGTCACAGGTACACTAATTGTACTGCTCACAAATCCTTTATTTATCTTTACATTTAAGAATGTTATATTGCTGTAAAATGTAGGTTACATGTGTGGAGAAAAAGAGAAGTTTATTTGCCTTTGAACATGGCTGTCTTAACTTTCTCCACATTGACCTTCCAAGTCAGCCATGATTTACTGTAGAGGCTGTTAGTGTGAGTCCTCCTCCCTTACCCACCCAGGACCTGTGATCACTAACTAGAGGAGAGCTGCCCCTGCCACAGGATTCCTTTGCTGGTTCCCAGGAAACTCTCTTGCAAGTTGACCTCACTGGAGTAACCAAAAAGCTTTTTCTTGATTTTAGTGAAGTGTTCGATCAGTGCTTTGCTTCCCTTGCATGTCTGCACTGCCTGTGTGTGCATGTCTGTGCATGTATCACGGCTGAGAGGGAATGACAGTCTGTACGTGTGTCACAGCTCTCTGGAACCTCTGAGGAAAGGGCCCCATGGGGCTTTGTGGCTCCTTGCACATGGAACTATTGCAGACCTTCACTTCTGCACACTGATGTTCCAGCCCAAGGTGGCACGCCTCCAATGACAGGCTTTTGCCAGAGCAATGCTCGGAGCTGACTTACCTGTAATGCAATTCTGCAGAAATGTCACAGGAACTTTCACAGAAATTATGTCTGTGCTTGGGGATTTTATTTCAGTGCTCAGAGAGCTGTGGGCTTGGTTACCAGCAGAGGATCCCGTACTGTGTTGCAATCCACTCTGTCCAAAGTCAGCACATCCATGGCCTTCGGACTGTAGCGTACCGAGAATGCCCAGTGGAGCCGTCCCCGTACATTTATAAATGCAATGTCAAAGGATGTTCACAAGCAGCGATGTGGACAGTGGGGAAGTGGACCAAAGTGAGTACAGATGTGCAAGCTCATTTTTTATAGCTGCCTCTGGCATGAATAAATGCCAAGAATAACTCGTTGACATAATGATGTTAATTATTTGCTTCTTTCTAAACCAAGTCTTAATGGTTATCTATGTCTAGTGCTCAGCATCTTGTGGAGTGGGGATAAAGCAGAGAACAGTGGAGTGTATGACTGAAAATGGCTTATCTAGTGACTTGTGCCTGCCACATTTAAAACCAGATGCCAGAAAGATCTGCCATGAGAAAGAATGTAAGTAATAGCTGTGATTTTATGCAGTTAATGTTTTCCCAGGTTACTTACATTAAAGTTATAAATATATTTGGAGTGCAATTATGGAAAATTAATTCCTAAAAGTAAGCTCTGTTCCTGAAATATTAATATGATTTAATCATTCATTTTGAAGGTGAAACTCCTACCACCTGCAAAGATATGCAGATTAAAAAAGGAATTAAAAAGGATGGTGAATACCTACTTAATGTTAAGGGAAGGATGATAAAGGTACTGTTAATATTTATGAGTTTTTATGAGTGCATATTTTTATGAAACAACACTTTACTAATAAAGATTTTGCTAAAGGGTTGCATTTTCTCTCCCAGATTTATTGCTCAGGCATGCACTTAGAAAATCCCAAAGAATATTTGACACTGGTAAAAGGTGAAGCAGAAAACTTTTCTGAAGTATATGGATACAGGTACAGAAGTGGTTTTGTAAATATATGAAGTGCACTTATTCCTTCCAAAATAAAATAATAAAATAATACTTACTTTTTTGTGAGAAGTATGAGTAGGATTTTTTTCCCCTTGATTTTCTGTTTTAAATATCCAGGCATGTAAACGCACATACAGAAATGCAGCTACTTCCATCCTGAAATTATGTTAGTTGTACTAAATGATTATATTTTTTTTTCTGTCTTGACTTCTGTAGAAATTACTTGTATCCACATTAGTGTTTCAGTTGAGCCAAGATTAAAAGCTGCGCTTCTTGTTCAGTTAAGGTTGTTTAATATTTTTATGTGACATAGTGCAGTGCACTAATTTTTTACTGTGATATTATGTTAAGGAAAAATCTCAAAATGAAAACTAAATATTTTCTGTTCTTTAGGTTGCAGAATCCATATGAATGTCCTTTCAATGGGAGCAGAAGGAAAGACTGTGCCTGTCGAAATGATTACCTTGCAGCTGGCTTCACAGTTTTTAGCAAAATAAGATTTGATGTAGCTTCTATGCAAATTAAAAGTAAGCATTTTGTTAGTTTTAGCCAATTCAGCATTCTATTGAAATTGGATGTGGTCACAATTACCAAATTGCTATTTTGATCCACTTACAGATCCAGCTGTGCAATCTTGGGGCAAAGTTCTTATTTAGTTTAAGAATTCAATGTCAAAAATAAAAAAAGAAAGAACACCACTACTTACCTTGTTAATTTGTCCCAAGTGTTCAAGTGGTATGAATCTCACAGATTCATATCTTATATGTGAACTACCTTCATTTTCTAAGCTTTTGTTCCCATTATTTCATTTTATTGTAGTCCACAGCCTTTTTTTTTCTTGTGGAAGTCTTCGCTTCTATGCTCTGCTTAGTCCCTTTTCAGACCTTGGCAGACATTAAATAAATCTTGACACTTGGTGCAGTGTCGAGGTACACATCCATCTTCCTCCTAACCCACTCTTATCTCAGAAAGAAATCTGGCTTTATAGGTTGGATTGATGGTGAAATAACCAAAATTCAAACCATTGTTTCTCAACCCAAAACACACAACCTTCCCTTCCAAGGGAACAAAACACAAAAATGTACACAATAAAACAGCCACATTCACACTTTTCACTGTTTCCCTCTGAACTTCAAATGCAGCAGTTAGTGTTGAGTAATTTTCTGTTTTCTAGCCACAGATTTTCTTTTTGCTCAGACTATACTTGGGAGAGCAGTACCATTTGCTACAGCTGGAGATTGCTACAGTGCAGCCAGATGTCCACAGGTATTTATGATTTCTTACTCCCATAAAATGTTTACATAAGAGGGGGAAAAAAATGTGTGACTTGTTTAGATCTGTAAGGTTCTAAACCTATCTCCTATTCTCTGAGGTCAGTGTACAACATTAATAACAAATTTTTTCTTACTCTCTTCTCTCCTATTCCACCATTCCCCCTCATAGTTTTTCCCTCAAATTGTTTACTACACCCTTTTTCTGTAGGCTCCATGTATGTGTTTCCACCTTTCTGTGTGTTTCATGTACTGCTCTGCCTCCCTCTGGATTTGATATATCCTTTGTTTCCCCTAATACTTTCTCATTCTTTATTCTCCTCTAGTGACTTTTATATTACCTGTATAATTTTTCTTATCTCTTCCCTGTTTCTCTCCTGGGATGTCTTCTCTGTTACTTTACTTCATGTCTTTGAAGACTACCAAAGGAAATAAATATTTTTTAGCAGTTTACTTTAAAATTTCCACATGCACTGTTGTGCCTACATTAGTGTTGTACTGGGTGGTGCTTTTTAGATTAACCTCTATATTGTTGCAGTTTGTTGTTTGTTGTTTCACATCACAGAGTAGTTTTGAAAGACATGAACAGGACCCCTTTTGGATGAAGCTAAAGCCAACAATGAACTTCAGAGGAAGGATCTTAATATACTCTAATAGGATTGAGGATTCAGTCCATGGGACTAGGGGAGAGTTAGTCCAAAATAAACCCCTGATTTGTGCACTGTCCACAGACTTGGGCTCTCTGGGCCATTTTTTACTTTACAGGTCTGCTTATACTGCATTGTCCTTGATAATGCAGACATAGCCCTAGTCTGACCTAGTCAACCTTTTGAAGCCCATTGGCAGAAACAGGATTCCTGAGAAAACACTTCAGCTTGTCTTACTGCATTAGACAGTTTAGGATGAGGTCAGCTGTCCTTGGGAAGTGAATTTCTTTTCACTTGTTATAAAGGAGATAGGACCAACTGGCTCACACTTGCTTGGAAGTGAATCCTTGTCACCCATCTCTCCTGGTTGACTAAACTTAAGACCAGCTGTGTGGGTGGACACAGCCAAGGGCAGATTGAGACAATTTATGTGCAATTTTTCTACAAATGAAGTGCTTAGCTTTGGCAGACTTAAACCCTTGGCAAGAAAACTGTTGAAGTTCATTATAGTATTGGATGCCTTCAACCTGCAAGTCCTTTGAGCAATATAATGAATTTTTGCAAAATAATTTGGGTAAATCATCATAATAAAAGCTGTATATATATGTATATATGTATGACATTCTTAAGCAATAAAACACAGAAGCTACCATTTGAAATAAAAATTTATGAGATCTGAATACAGAAATCCAAGTTTTCGGTAAATAATGCAGAGCTGTGCAGTTTTCTGATTGTAGTGCTGCCTGAACTAATCATTAGACTCTTTGTGGAGGTGGTACGTCTTTGTAGCATATTGCACTTCTCTGTGAATGCAATTTAATAAATTTCTGTATCCCAGTTTGTTTACCAAGGTAGTGCAATTTGCTACTTTTAATATATTTCCTATTCTCATAGGAACTGACTGAATCTAGTTTTCAGAGTCTGTATTTGTGTAGGCAAATGTTTTAGAACCAATATCTTCTCTATCTTTTGTGAATGGTTTGTATTGCAAAACATTCCACTTAAAAGTATAGTTATTTATTTTAGCATACTCTTACATTCTTGTTCAGTTGTGTTATTTGTTATACTGAAGAAGCAATGGAACATGATAAGATGATGATGCTTAGGTGGTGTATAAACATTTGAAAATTAGGTGTCTAAGAAGTGATATGTCTTTACAGACAGCAGTATGTTTTGATCATATTTTTCCAAAAAATTCAGGAACTTAAAAAAAATAGTATTTCAAGAAAAACAGCTTCATCCTTGCCTTTTGAAAGTCTGTACTTTTTGTAAATTAAAATTTCATTTGTAGAAAGGAAAAAATAATTTCAGTTGTGTGATGTTAATTTTGTCTTCATATTCAGATGCTACAGATCAGCTGAAGCACAACTGATGCTTATTGCAGAATAACTTGGTTTTGTGTTGTGAATGTCCATAGAAAAAGTGTAATGCAGCATAA